GAGTGCACATGCCCTATAGCAAATTTAAAAAATAACGATAAATAAATAAGTTTTTTTTAAAAGAATTATGTTTTTTGACAGGGTTTTAGATATTTATGCCTGTTGACTACAGCATTCCAAAGCTTATGGAGAGAAGAGGATTTGAAAGTATGAGATCAGTGTAGGCTCCAGTGTGGTGGACTTGTCATAGTGTGGGAGCTTGATTGACTTTGACAAGCTTTTGTCTTATGACCTATTAAAATGCAGTGTCTGCAGCCCGTGCATTTATCCTGTGCAGTTAACCTTGTGGATTTGTTGTTAGCTTATTTGAGGATAGTCTTCTGAACCTTTTTTTTTTTTTTTTCAGAATTTGATTCATGTAGAAAAAGTATTAGACTGGTTATTGCTTTTTTTTTTTTTTTTTTTTTCAGAATTTGATTCATGTAGAAAAAGTATTAGACTGGTTATAGATTGTCACTTGATACCAAGCGGGCACGATGGGCCAGGTAGGGACCTTGTGTATAAGGCAGTTGTTCGGTGAGTTAAAAAAAAAAGCGTACTCCTTCGTGTCGCTCATGAGCAAGGAGATTGTTGGTGTTGACATTGCATTAGTTTGAGCCTGGTTGTGATGTCACTGGGAGAAACTGCGCATGAGTATGTTTTCTTGTCTCTAGGGCTGTATACAATGGTGGTCCAATAAATGTTTCCTGATATTAGGGACATCACGAAAGATACTTATCAAGAAGCCAGCAGATGGATAACACTGTACTAGGAACATGTAGTTACGCATTTGTGCACTCTTATGTGAGCACAGTAGCAGGTGCGGGACAGGGAAAAGGTGTGGACAGGAAATGTGATGACATCCCTGTGCATGTTAGGCCCGTTTTATTTCTGCTTTTTCCTATAAATGAGTAGGAAGTTGCTGACAGAGATTGTATGTGTAACAGTTTAGAAACTGAATCATCTTTCCATTCTGTTTTATCCTCCCTTTTTGAAAACTTTCTCAACTTTCAGAGAATTCTATTTTGAAGGGCCCTGTT